AATGATGAAGAATGCCATGGTCACCCACGGGGCTATTAGGATGGCAAGGGTCACAAACGGTCACCTTTGCCTGTCCCACATCAGTTTCTGTTTCTTCTGATGGCAACACCCTGATTTTCCTTTGGGAATCATGGCCTTTCACCAAGCCATGTGACCTTGATAGGGGTGACAGTCCCTCAGTACCCAGGAGTGGCACCTGACAGACCTGATCGGTCACGGTTCCACTGGGGAGACAAATCAAGCCAGGCAATGAGATTATGCTCAGGAATTCACTGATCTCCTGGGAGAGAGGACACTAGTCTTGCTTCTTGTAAATTGCTTCTTGTAAATCAGCCAAGTGCCAGGACTTAGAGAGCATTGACCTGCAGGAGAAACTGATAAGGAAGCTTGTCCTCGCTGCATAAAGAGACAACTTCCTAATGACATCCTTTGAACACCTGGAACCATCCTTGCCTGAAGCTGAAATTTCTTCAGTTCTTCAGTCATGCAAGGCAATGCATCGCCCCTTTTGCTTACATGGTTTTATTACAATTGGAATTAGTGCAATCCCAATGAATCCAACAAGCACAGTATCTCCATGAAAATATGAAACACTCCAGGGAAAAGGAAACACAAATTCATTTGGGAATCTGATTACAATGACATAAGAACATACATGGGCCATATAAGATTAGAATAATTTATACTAATATATCACATTCTTTTTCTCGCCAAATGGGTTACGTGTATAGTGCCTAATGAACAAAGGAGAAGATGGAGAATCTGCCACTGTGGAGACCTAAGGGAGACAGCAGAGGGCAGTACCAAGTCCTGAGTTCAGTCCCAGTTCTTCCAGTAATTGACAGAGTAGCCTTGAACAAGCTGATCAAACTGTTTGAGGCTCGGTTTCCCCATCTATGAAAAAGGGAGTCTGGCTTCCATAGTTACCCCACCTGATGCACAAAATTCCAATAAACTTTTAGTCCAGTCATACTATAATATTTTTTCCTGAGGTCCAGAAACAGTCTGAAACACTGTCTGGGATCCACAATGGTCCTGAGGCTGATCCCAACTCGGACTGGTATGTCTGATCTCTCTTTACCTCTGTTTCTTTCCATAAAGTGGGGTGGATGCTTTGAAATTAAATTCATGCAGTCATTTGTTTCATTAAAATGTATTAAGGATGAGGTTTATTAGGAATCTGATCATGTATCACTTGAATTCCTCTATCACTGTTGGAAGAACTGTATTTTGTCTGATTTCCCCTAGCATGAGCTGGCGGTATGAAAAATTTTATTATTATGTCCATTTTACAGATGAGACTTACAAAGTTGAAGTAACTTGACCAGGGTCCCACCACTGCAAGGGCAGAGCTGAGGCTCAAACCAAAGCAGCCTTTTTCAGACTTTGTGCTCAGAACCACTCATGTTAGGGAATTCTGCTCAGGGGGCCGGCATGGGGGGAAAGCAACACTGAACAGAGGCCATTTTTTAAAAAATGACCCTCAAAGACCCGTGAGGGGGTTCATAGTGGAAAAAGGAGAAGTCTGAACTGAGGCATCCCACTCAACAAAGACCTAATTTTGGGGGGGTTGAGGATTCTTTTGCCAAGTTTCTGGTTGAGGTTCAAAACCCGACCTAGACTTTCATTTCCTGCTCTGTGGCAGATAAGATTTCTGAAGAGCTCTCCTACAGCAAAACTTCTAGGAGCCAGAAAAATCACAACAGACACACTTTTTAAAAAATTAAATTCAATTAATTAATAAGTAATGTATTATTGGTTTCAGGGGTGCAGGTCTGTGATTCGTCAGTTTTATATAACACCCAGTGCTCATCATAACACATACCCTCCCCAATGTCCATCACCCAGTTACCCCCCCCCCAACAGCAACCTTCAGTTTTTTTTCCTAAGATTAGGGGTCTCTCATGGTTTGTCTGGTTTCATTTTTTCCTCTCTTCCCCTACGATCCTCTGCCTTGTTTCTTAAATTCCACATATCAGTGAGATCATAGGATATGTCTTTCTCTGATTGACTTGTTTCGCTTAGCAGAATACCCTCTTAGTTCCAACCACATCATTGCAAACGGCAAGATTTCATGTTTTGGTGGCTGAGTAATATTTCATTATATATATATACATATACATACACACACACCACATCTTCTTTATCCATCTGTTGATGGACATCTGGGCTCTTTCAGTAGTTTGGCTATTGTGGACATTGCTGCTATAAACATTTAGGTGCAGGTGTCCCTTCTTTTCACTGCATCTGTATCTTTGGGGTAAATACCCAGAGTACAAAATTGCTGGGTCATAGGGTAGCTCTATTTTCAACTTTTTGAGGAAACTCCATACTGTTTTCTAGAGTGGCTGCACCAGCTTGCATTCCCACCAACAGTGTAAGAGGGTTCCCTTTCTCTGAACCCTCGCCAAAATCTGTCATTTCCTGATTTGTTCATTTTAGCCATTCTGACTGGTGTGAGGTGGTATCTCATTGTGGTTTTGATTTGTATTTCCCTGATACTGAGTGATACAACAAACACACTTTTAAATGCATTACTGAGATTGTCAGAGACTAAGGAAAATGTTCAAATGTGTCCTTTCTCTCCCTACTACACTGACCAACCTTGCCCTATAGCAACAAAAAACCCAACTAGCTGCTGATAGCAGAATGATGAGCAAATGCAGAGGCTTATGCTTCCTCAGGGTCAAATGCTGATATTGATATTCTAGAAGGATCTAGAGACCAGATTTGGGTCCGTGCAACCTGGACAACTGAGCTGAGACCTTACATAAATGGGGTCACTTGTGAGAAGGTGAATAGAAGATGACATCTGCCTTCAACAGGAGACAGGAAGCTAACCTATCTATCTCCATCTCATCTCTGGGCAGAAGAAAACAACTCTCCAGTACTATAGGATTTGGGAATGGAATTTAGTCTACCCACACTTACCGAGTAGGGGAAAGCTATATAAAGTGGCCCAAAATGATGAGAACCCTCAATGCAGGAAGAAGTAAACATAAATTTGCCCTGGCGGAAAAAAAAAAAACAAATATCATCTCATGCCTGTCAGAATTCTCCCTGATTACAATCAGCCTAATATAAGCCCCTCCAAACTGCGAGACATAAGAGGAAACAAAACATCATGGCTGAGAACAAGCAGAAACACCAAGCAATCGATCTTATCGCCCATAGTTTCAAATGTCAGCATTATGAGATATATAATACAAAATAACAAAGTGTAAAATCTTTGTTTTTTTTTTTATTTTTAAAAGATTTTATTTATTTATTTGTCAGAGAGGGAGTGCACTCACAAGAAGGGGGAGCAGCAGGCAGAGAGAGAAGCAGGCTCCCTGCTGAGCAAGGATTCCCAAGACCCTAGGATCATGACCTGAGGTGAAGGCAGCCACTTAAACTACTGAGCCACCCAGGTGTCCAGTGCAAAATCTTTGAAGAAGTAAAAATTGAATCAAACCCTGAATGATATAGAAGAGTCATTCGAAAGTGACCAAATAGTTTTGAAAAGTCAGTGAAGAGGTTAAACAGATTAGATATAGATGAAGAAAGAATTAGTGAACTGAAAGATAGATGTGGACAAATAAGGAATGAAATGGAAAGGATGAAAGATAGACTCACTAGGCATAAAGAATAGAGTAAAAAGACCTCCTATATTTGTAATTGGGTTTCTTGAATGAGAAAATGGGGATGTGTCATAATTTCAAAATACACAATATCTGCTTATGTCCCAGAGTTTATGAAAGATATTAGTACCACTGATTTAGTAAATACCACATGTCTCAAACAAGCTAAATAAAAGAAAACCTATACACAGAATAACATCATGAAGCTGCTTAACACAAAAGAAAAATAAAAATAGATATATCACCTATAAAGGAATAACAACTGACAACTGATTTCTCAATAACAGCAACATAAACCAGAAAATGATGAAATCATATCATCAACACATTGCAAAAAAAGATAACTACAAATTGAAACCTCTATTTCAACTCTTAGAGTAAAATAAAGACATTTCACACACACACACACACACACACACACACACACACACTTTGCTGTGAACAGAGATTACTAAAAGGAATTTCCAAAAGTTGCATTTCTTTTAGAAGGGCAATGACTCCAGAAGGAAGGAAGGCCTGAAATGTAACGGGAAATGGGGAGCAACGAAAATGGTAAACTTTGGCCAATTAGACAAACAATGACTATATAAAACAATAACAATAACAATAACCATCCTGTCTGACTCATAGGGTTAAAAAGCATGCTCGACAAAAATAACAGAGAGAGAATGGAACCTAAATTAAAACAGCCGACTTTAGAAAATGTACTGTGTAAAACTGTGCATTTACACATTTTACTACCCATTAAAAAATAGTTAACTATAGGTACCCAATCAAGGTATATACATTTCATAATCAGAAGTTGAGGGAGTGGAAAAAAGGTCACAGAATATCACTCAACCTAAGTATAAAAACATGCCAAGTAAAAATTATTTGGGGACACATACTGAAGTGGTTGAATTTTAATGGAATATTCAGAAAAGTCATATGATGGGAAGGGACACACAGGTCTTTAAAGGTGTATTAGTGTTTGTTAAGTTAGATGGCAGGGGGGCACCTGGGTGGCTCAGTGGGTTAAGCCTCTGCCTTCAGCTCAGGTCATGGTTTTGGGGTCCTAGGATGGAGCCCCGCATGGGGCTCTCTGCTCAGCGGGGAACCTGCTTCCCCCACTCTCTGTCTGCCTCTCTGCCTGCTTGTGATCTCTGTCTGTCAAATAAATAAACCTTTAAAAAAAAAAAGTAGGTACTTGCTTATTCATTTTATTGTCCTTTAAGTCATATTTACATAACATTTACTTTTACATATGTAAAATTGTTTGTTTTTTAAAAAGTAATGATAATAAAGTAATCTAAGTCATTGTTGTAGGTGCCAGCTGCCGAGGTGGGAGGCTCTGCGCCGGGGACAGTGGCCGAGGGAATGTAAGCTGAGAGTGTTGCCCCTTAGGAGCCCACTGCGGGGAACCTGAGGGCCGTGAATGCTCTGAACCACCTAAGGCATGTCCGTCCCAGCGAACAAACGTCGGAGAGGCCCTGTATGTGGTCGGTAAACTCCGCAGTGACCCCAAAATGTCAGGGTCAGGAGCACCGGTGGTGGCGGAGGGAGACAACTTTCCAAGTCTTAAGGTTTGGAAGCAAAAATCCTGAGAAAACCCCTCAGGTTCTTGTGTAATTTAAGGGTAGTTGGAGGGGGCGGATTTTAACTAATAAAGGCATTTAGGGACCCACGGGTTAACTGGAAGAAAATGAAGGCTTCGTGGCCAAGCTGGTGCGGGCGGATGTCTCCAGCCAGGCGCGTTTGAGGTAGGGCGGGCTGGCTCTCTACAGCGCCATCGCGCGGGCTCGGGCCGCAGCTGCAGGACAGCCGACCTTTCTTGGTTCCTCCTTGGCTGGGGAGGGCCACGTCAGGAATGCGGGGTTAGGGCCAGAGGGTAATCCAGAGCTCTCAGAGGCTCCTCCTTTTTGCAGTATCCAAATTGCAGCCATAAAATCTTCTCCCCGGGGGAAAAAAATAAATAAATAAAGACAAATTCCTATTCTTGGGAGAATGGCCTGAAGCTGATAATTTTAGCATTATGTATATATTCCCTTTTTAGAGCCTGAACAAATCCTACAAAATCCTACAAAACAAATCCTACAAAATCCTACAAAAGGATCTATCATTTTAATTTTAAGTTGCTCTGGCTTGCACTTAAGCATTTGGATTTTGTTGTAACCCATCCCGTACAGAGGGCGCCTGCCATTTTTGCCTTCCAGAAGGTTGAAGAGTCTCACGGGGACTTCCGAAATGCTAGCGCTCTGTACCAGGGGTGGCGAGGGGCGGGACATAAGCAGAGCGTGTGAGCCATCACCAGTTTGGATTTCTCGTGGCTGCCTGTATCACCACCAAAAGCCGAATGGGTCTCGGGCTTGCTGAATCTTAGGTCAGTTCTTCGCACGGTGGGCCTGGAGAAGAAGACATAAAATCAGATTGATATTTATCAGGGTGTGGCCATGGCTGAAGGCAAAATGTCAGAGCCCCTGTCATTCAGCACAGAGCATGAACTATATTTATTTTCCCAAGAACAGGGTTAAAATCTCTCATCCCAAAATAACCAAAGCATAAGAGACTTTTAATAAAGTCTGCTTGTTTCATCCTGAAAAGACATGATTTATTCCACTCTATTTTCTAATTGTAAAATCCAGTGAAAGTGAATCTTGCAAATTACCACTTAAAACAATATAAAATGATCACACTTTTTAAGAAGTATAACTAAAAATCTTATTTCTTTGCTTTGAACATGGTAATGCACTTAAATACAATATTTGCTAATGGCTTTCTTCTTCCTTGAATCATGGCAAAGAAGAATTTTTTTTCCCCAAAAAGTTTTCTTTATTTTCTTCTTCAGATTTAGGTGAGAAAGTGCTCACCTGGGGAATTAATCACAGGGATGAAAGGTGCAGCCCAGGGAATAGAGAACATGGCATTGTAATAGCGAGGTGTGGTGATGTGGTCGCTACACTGTGGTGAGTATAGCATAACCTAGAGAGTTGGGGAATCACTATGCTGTACATCTGAAACTAACATAACATGGTGTGACAACTATACTTCAAAAAAAGTAGGAAAAAAGGCAAGTGCTCACCATCTATGCACACCAAGAAAGAACCCAGGTCTTTCAATGGAGCCTTGAAAAACTGTCCGTGGATAAACTCAAAAAGCAGGGCTATGTCATTACTGTTTCTGATCCCTGTTTAAAGGTTTCCTTTCTTTCTTCATAAGAAATCAACTATGACCATAATATTGAATGGCAAAATAAGGATCAGGGGGACGCCTGGGTGGCTCAGTCAGTTGGGCTGCTGCCTTCGGCTCAGGTCATGATCCCAGCATCCTGGAATCGAGTCCCGCATCGGGCTCTTTGCTCAGCGGGGAGCCTGCTTCTCTCTCCGCCTCTGCCTGCCCCTCTGCCTGCTTGTCCATTCTTTCTCTCTCTCTCTCTCTCTCTGACAAATAAATAAATAAATAAAATCTTAAAAAAAAATAATGACCAGGAATGGGGTTTGAGGAAAGGAACTAATGGTACCCCATTAACATGTCAAAGTTATAAGCAGACACCCACAGTCCAAGTACAGATAAATGAGTCTTTTGAGCCACTGCCCAAGAGATAATCAGATGAGCTTGCGAGCCTGAGAAAAGTTTTCAACATTCCTAGACTCTACCAGTCCCCCTTTGCCCCAAAGTTTGTATTGGTTTTTGCCTTTCTCAAAGATTCTTTCAATGTCTAGAGTAGATGTCTAAGTAGAATAAGTACACAAAATATTTTTTGACTATAAAATATTTGTTGACTACTACAACATTATCTGATATCACTAGCTAATAAGTCATAAGTTACCTAAAGCAATTACACTGGGAGGTTTCCTCATAAATAGGCTCTTATACACCATTGTTCTCCCCCTCTCTCTTTTCCACCCAAACAATACAGTAGGTTGAGAGAGAGACAGAGAGAGGGAAAGGTGGCAAATAAAGTTTCAAAACAATTATGACACCAGGACAGATGCTAATTTTTCTTCCCTCAAGAAAAATCAGTATTTGAAAAATTCTTTTTTTTAAAGACTTATTTATTTATTTCAGAAAGAGAGAATGAGCAGGGGGAGGGGCAAAGGGAGAGAGAGAGAGCGCGAATCTCAAGCTGACTCCGTGCTGAGCATGTGTCCAGAAGCAGGGCTCAATCTCACAACCCTAAGATCATGACCCGATCTGAAACCAAGAGTCAGCTGCTTAGACTGAGCCACCCAGATGCCCCAGTATTTGAAAACTTCGACATACACCATAGCTTGGCGGTTTTGATCTCTAACACTGTACAGATTTGCGTCTGAATCCCAGTTCTGCCACTAACTCTGTGGCATCAGGCAAGTCACCTATCTTCTCTGTGCCTCAGTTTCTTCATCTGGAAGACATAGATCACAGTGAGCTCATGGGGGTTATTGCCTGTGATTTCAAAAATGTTTTTATGCCAAATGCATTTAGTGCAGTATACTGCCTGACATGTAGTATGCTTGGGTTCAGGGTGGGTAACTCTGTTATTAACTTTGGAGTCCACGTGCGTGTTCACAGAATAAATCAACGCAGTCCTCCTTTTAGTCAGGATGACGCTCCAGCTCTCTGGTCTAGTTCTGTGGATGCTTCCCTGTAACATCCTGCGCCCTAGCCATCCTTGCTTTCCTCCCATTACTAGCACCTGGGCTTAGGTCCTTATCACCTGTCACCTGGAATACCCCTCCTGGGACAGACGCACAAGTCATTCATATCCAAGTGTTCCCAGCCTCTCTTCTGTAAAAGTCTCTCATCTTTATCCCCAGAGCTTTATACCAACTTCCGAGCAGAGCAGACCGACAGGTGAGTTCCCAGGCTTGTGAGGTGCAAAGAAAGGAAATGGGAAGAAGGAGAGAGGCCACAGGGGCTGAGGGTGGGAATGACCGGTTTTGGAGTATGAGAAGCTCTGCCGTGGAGTCAAAAATGACTCATACAGTGTCTGCAAAGCTCCAAAGGCTAACCTCAAAACTACAGATGCAAGTGTAAGCAAGACAGAATTCCTGCTCTCCGGGTGCTCGCCCTTAGGGAGTGCAGATTTCTGAAGAGGAAGAACTGCCAAGATGTGTTGCTATGCCCTTTAGCAATTTCTTGAAGCACAAGGAAAGACTGGAATTGCTTTTTATTGTTGTTTCTTAGAATATGAGACCCTCAGGTTTCATGAGGCTGGGCCATATGGTGCCCTGGTATTTTTTATCATTATATAGTCATCTCTGAAATGGTTGCCAGACCTCCCACCTTGCCCTTTTCTACATTGCTACCGAAGGATGGGTCTAAAACACAAATCTGAACATGCTCTAAGTTAACCTTCCAGCTTAAACACCTCCCATTGCTGCCCTTTGCTTCCAGAAGAGAGCACAAGACTTCATTGATACAGCCCTACCAATCCCTAGTCTGCTTTCTCGTCAAGGCTCCCTAGCCCTCCTGTGGCTGCCACAAACTCAGCCATAGCCCAGCCCTGACACACACAGACCTTACACTCCAGCAGAGAGCCCTCAACACAATCAAATGCTTTGCCCACGGCGATCTTATTTCTGCCATCTTTTGGGCTCTTCTCTCTGGAAATTCCTAGGTGTCCTTCAAAATTCCATTCAAAACATCCTGTCTGGGAAGTCTTCCTGACCCACCCTAAGTGGAGCTAATCTCTCCCCACTCCTAGACTTGCTGTACTATTTAAATAGATTTTTTATTGCCTGGGAGTTTGAATATTAACTCTGAGTGATTCTGGCTGAAATCTCTGTTTTCCAGGGTTGATTAGACCAATACAGCTGGCTGAACAGGTAGCTTTCCCCCTACATTGCTCCACATATTTTAGTTCCTTTTATCCATCTGTTCCCCCTAATACACTGTGCACCTCAGGAAAATGGGAACCCATGGTGCCCAGCACATACTAGAACGTACTAGCACATACCAGAACTCCAATGAATGAATGCATGTAGAATCAAAAAGAGGCAGGAATATCCTAACCCTGTCTGCTGGGGATGATCTCAAATTTGCATGAGCTGCCTGCTGAGCTCAAGAGTGAGAAGACCTAGGTGTCACATATTTCTCCCCAAGACTTCTCCTCAGCCCCAGGGTCTTTAAGTATGAGTTGAAGAAGATGGAGGCTATAAGAAGAGGTTTCTGGTCAGAGATAGGATAAAGGAGCAAGAGAAGATTCCGGAAGCCAGTCTGATGATATTTCAAGTTTGTTTTTTCTCCTATTTAATATTTAATATCACATAAGCCAGTTGTCTTCAGAATGCAGTGTAAGTGCCACACATAGTAAAGGGCATCAGGGAATGGCACTCACATCACACATCTGACTGCTGTAGCCAGAACCACAAGGAGCCCAAATGGTAAATCCCAAGGCTCCAGGCTAAATATGGCTTGAGGGCTCTTTATCCCCGGTGGTGGCTCCAGAAGTTCTCATGTCATCCCTGCTCCTTTCATGGGCTGGGCTGCCCACCAGCTTGGACTTGCCATGGCCAAGACGAGATGATCAAGGTCACTTAGGTTCACAACAAGCATTCCACCTAAGTCTGGGGTATTGAAGGAAAATCCTCATTGTCTTTGTTTACTCTGATGATTGTCACATGCTCTTTTTTTTGGTTTGGTTTTAACAGGTTCACAAATTGATCAGTGACCTGTGTCAATACTTTCCCAAAGTATTGATTCTAATCACATGTCTTGGCCAGTTCTGCGTGGTGAAGCCGCTAACTGCATAATGTGGGGTCCTCAAGCATTGTGCACCTACATCTGCAGAAGTTGACTGGGGCTCCCAAGACCATCTGGATCCACACGGACATAGGGTGAACCCCCTTCACCCGACCATATGATGCTCCCAAGTACTGCGGCGGCCCCGGGAGCAGGCAGGGACGCAGGCTGCGTATTTGCTTCCCTCTAGTGGCAGATCCTGGATTGAGCCTCGGGACTCTGTCCTCCACG